AAAGAATCTGTGGAGTTTTCAGAGTGTACTGAGGGTGGCAGTGGAGAAGCAGAGGAAGGAAAGAATAAGTGAAGTTCGGAAACAAAATAACTTATTGATGCACGGATGCGGGGGAGGGAAGAGTCAAAACTGACTCAGGTTTCTGGCTGCGGCAGCTTGGTGACTGGTAGTGTTATACCGACGTGGAGAAAACTGTCCATTTTGGGGCAGGTTTGTGTGTGGTGGGGGGAGAGGGACAGAGAAGGAATAAGGAGACTAAATTTTGACCCGTCAGTCTGAGAGGCACCACGTGGCCCCCTTGTACTACACTTAATCCTGTTAATCCTACCTTTCTAGATTCTTCACTGGAGTATCAGACTTCCTCAGCATTCCTTCCTCTGCTCTTTTCTCACTCCATAGCAATGGTTCTCAACAAAGTAATACTTCACCTCCCCTCCACAGAGGGGTTGGGGAAACCAGTGAAGTGTTTTTGGTTGTCACAAAAAGGTGGGGCTGTGCTATTAAGTTTCAGTGGATAGGCGCCACGGATGCCAGACAGCGATAGTCCCACACAATAGAGAACTCCCCCTCTCACTGAACACTCACATAGGCAAAAGGCATGTTTATAATTATCTGAGGAGTCAAGCATTTACATAGTGAAAGACATTTTATTTTGCTATACTTACTTTTCTCTTCTTTCTCCTTTATGTCAGTGATAAGTCATTATATATGATTTTTAAATTATGTTTTAGATAGATTATATTATCTATGATTATCATTTTGGAATAGTAAGGGGTAGTGTTACAAAGTATTTCTCATCAAAAGGGGCTGCAGCATCTAATATGGTTGAGAAAAACAGATCTACAATATAGTGGTTAGTGATCTGGGATCCGGAGCCAAAATGCTTGGTTTTACCACTTACTATTTAGGTAACTTTGGCCAAGTTAATTATTGTCATCTGTAAAACGGGGCTAACATCCTCCCTCATAGGGCTGTGTGAGCACAACAATAACGATTAGTTAATATTTGTAAAGCACTTAGAACAGCACATGACTGGCACATATTAAGTACCAAATAAATTTTAGTTAGATAAAATAAATACGGTCTCTCCAGGAAATCTTATGCATGTTCTTGTCTTCAATTTCCATTTATACATTATTGCAGAAAATTTCCTAAATTTAAAAATATTTTGAGTGAGCTTTGCCTAAAAAAATACATGTATATCTCAACATGGTATTTGGTAGAGCCTTAGGAGAAAACAATGCTTTTCTTTCAAGTACATAATTTTCCAAGTATTAGGCTAATCATTCACCTTTCTCAGGAAGACAAAGAAGAGAGGGTTGAAGAACATTTATGTTCTGGTAAAATCAGAAACCAACGGAACAAAAAACCCAAGGAAGAAAGACAAGTGGCAAAAAGGTTTTAAGTTTAAATTTGTACAGCCTCTGTTTCTTATTATGGTCACTAAGAAGCAACAAGAAGCTTCCTAAGATAGTTACAGATTCTTCCTAAGCTATTCCATAGAAAGTTACTGTAGGAAAGACATTTAATGTTATATACAAATTCTCGAACTGTAAACCTCAACCATGAGGCCAGGAAAATACTCTAATATTCACTTAATCTAGAAAATATGCCTGTTGTAGGAAATGGCATTTGCTTACTCAAATGAGCTGTGTTAATGAAACCCATTACTCTACAGAGGACCTTGTTTCTGGTTTTGTTCCTAATTGATTATGCAAGTAAAATAAAAATGGTGGCTCCACTGGATTTAAAGCCAAATACAATAGGAAGCCTGTTTTCATTTACAATGAGGACCCATAAATTTAAACCTCCAGCCTGAGACCCCTCCTTTGCTGTTCCCTGGATCCTGAGTTGGCTGCCCCTCATCCTTCAGCTCTCAACTGAAGCTTTACACTGTCAAAGAAACCCTGTTTGACCACACAATCTGTGTCATCTTCTTTTGTTTTACACTTTCTTAGAGCAACAGTTCTTTCCTTCTGTGCACTTGTCATAATTTTTACTTATAAGCTTTATAGTTTTCTTAAAAAAAAAATCTGTCTGCTGCATTAGACTTAATCCACCAGAAAGGTTCCTTAAAGTGCCAGAGAACCAGGCCCTAGTACATTTCCTAGTACATAGCAGGTGCTCAATAAATATGTGTTGCCCGGGGGAAGTGTCATTTTGGCATTCTAGGGTACACAGGTGAGATAGGGGCTAAAGATATGAATGTGAGAGTCATCTGCATTTAGATAGTATTTAAATACAGGAGAATGGATGAGATCACTCATTCTAAGGAGAAAGTGGAGATGAGACAGGGAAAAGTCTTGAACAGAGCCTTGGGGACCTCCAACATTTAATAGGCATAAAGCAAGAGATGCTGGCAAAGGAAACAAAACAAAGGAATGGCTAGAGAGGTAAAAAGAAATTCAGGAGAATGTGCTGCCAAGACAGCCAGGAAAAGAGACCTTCTTAAGAAGGTGGGGGTGGGTAGTTGTGGCATATACAGCTAAGAAATAAATGAAGATCAGAATAGAAATGTTACCATTGAGTTTGCGGCTTCTAGGTCATTTGTGACCTTGATAAGAGTGATTTTGAGGGAGAAGTGAGGGATGTCAGCTTAGAGTGGGTTGGGAAAGGAGGTGCTGGAAGCAGCTGGTGTAGAACACTTTTTCAAGAAGCTTTGCTGGGAAGGAGAGCAAAACAATGAAGCTGGAGAGGAATGAAGCATCAACAAAGTTGTTTTGGTTTTGTTTGCATTTTTTTTTTTTTTAGTGGAAGTTACTAGAATATGTTTGTATGGTGATGGGAAATATTCAATATAAAGAGAGATTAATTATTTAATAAAGAGAAAGAATGACAAGAGGAGAAGATCCCTTAGTAGGTTCCTGATAAGGAATCAGTGCTGATCTTATATTGTCATTCTTCTTTGACCTACCCTTATGCACCAAGTTTAAGTAAGAGATCATTAAAAAGTGATTAGTTTGACTTCATAATGCAGCCCTGAAGGGGTCATATGGGACATGTCAACCACTCTGGAAAGAACTTCAAGAAATCCTATCTCCTCAGTTTCCCTGGGGCTGGGAATTAGTTCCAGTGTTTCTCAACCTTGTGTGCTATTGGCATTTTGGTTCAAATGCTCTTGTGTCGTGGGGGACTGTTCTGTGCATTGTAGGATGTTTAGCAGGATTCCTGGCCTCTACTCACTAGATAACCAGTAGCATCCAGTTGTGACAACCAAAAACCAACCATTGCTAAATGTCCTTTGGGGGGGATGTGTGCAAAATTGCCCCAATTGAGAACCACTGAGTTATTCAAACCTAAGAAAGTCTAACAACAACAACAACAAACCAGCTAAGCTTAGCTGTGTAAATGTTGATAAACACTACTATTTTCATTGCCTTATGCTGTTGTGGAAAATTATTCATGAACCTGGTGTGAAAGCCTATTGTGCTATACATACATGTTAGTATTGTGCTATACATACATGTTAGTATTTTTTAACTCCTAAAGAGATACTGTAATATAATTTTTAACATTTTAGTAGAAAGAACAATAAAAGAAAACCAAACCAAATACATGTATGGATGAATCAACCTTAGGGATGATGGCAGGAAAAGGAAAGTCACTAGCATGTATTGGTGGTCCCTACATTTTATATTTTGTAAACTTGATTTAAAAAAACCTTTTTTCACATGCTCATTGTATAAAAATGAAACAAACAAAAAAACCCCAAAAAGCCAGATACATTAAGAGAAGAAAATTAAAAACCTCATAATGTCATCAGTTAATATTTTGGTGCATATGCTTTAGGACTTTCTGTGCATCCATCCATTCATTTATTCATTAACTTATTTATTACACATCTCCCTCAAAGTGGTTAGGAACCGGGCAGTGAAGGCGATTTTGTTTTTTTTTAACGGGAGAGATTTGGGCATGTTCTCAAGCCAGTGGAAGGACCTATTTAGAAAGAGGAAAATGGTATGATCCATAGAGTGAGGTTTCTGAGAAGGAATGAATTTTAAGCAGAAGAGGATTTATCTTTAGGAAAAAAAAGCATTGTGAGAGGATGGAAAAAATACACACATATTACACAGGGATATATGTATCTTATTGTATCTACATGTATGTATATTGCTGTATCTACCTGTAGGTATGTAAGCATCTTGTATCCACATGTAGGTATTATTTTTTAACTTTATCTACACGTATGTATCTTACTGTGTCTATATGTTTTTTACCATGTGAGCCACTTTTGGTACCTGCTTTTTCACCTTTTCTACTGTAACCATTTTCCCCATTCCGTTAGTCTTCCTCCACATCATTTTTACAGTATCCTAACGCATACCAGGAGTTCGGTTTTTAAGGCCACCTCCTAATGTTGGACATTTTAGCCGTTTACAGTTTTTACTATCATCAATGCCCGGACTTGATATCTTGGCGGTGTAATATTCGCAGATAACTCAGATTATTTTCTGAACAGAAATTCGGGCAAGTGGAATTGTCGAGTCAATGGTCTGCAAAATTCGGTAGATACAAATCGCTTTTAAACCTCACCGCCCGCCTCAGGTATGCATTCTTTACCTGCGGAGGAAACAGAGAAGCAGGGAGGTTAAGTAATTGGCCCAAGGTCAAAAATGATTAGAAGTGGCGGATTTCAAAAGCCGGAGCGGGCTCATCACCCTGCAGCAAGGGTAGAATTTGCGGTTTAGGCGATTTTTTTTTTTTTTTTTTTTTCGTGTGTGTATCAGTGGGGGAGGGGCCGGGTGGCAGGGAAGGAAACTTGTGTCGCAGCAAAGGAGGAGGAGGGGAGGGACTCGAGTCAGATCAGAGGCGGCCGCGGCGAGAAAGGCTGGGCTCGGGGCTCGGCGGGCCCCCCAGCCGCTCCGCGGGGCGCCTCGGAGGCTGTGAGGCCCGCCAGGGAGGTCCGGCGGGGGGCCGCGCGCCGCGCCCGGGCGGTTGCCAAGGGCTTGCCCCGTCTGCGGGTCCAGTTGCTAGGGCCTCCATCTTGAGGCCGCCGGCCGCGGCGCCCCCGGAAGGGGTTGCCGAGTGGGGCATTCACTTCCGGTCTGGGGCCTGCGGCGGCTGTGGCGGCGGCGGCGGCGGCAGCGGCGGCGGCGGCGGCAGCGGGTCGGTGTAGAAAATGGCGCTGGTGCAGCGGCTCGGGCCTCTCCCCGCGGCGCTGCGGAGGGCTTGAGGCTCGCGAGCCTCACTCGCCGCGCCCCACTTGCTCGTGCACTTTACACACATGAGGTGAGCGGGGCGGGGGCCT